GAGGGTGAGGGGGTGGGGCCAACGGGGTCACGTGGCGTTGATGCGTCGGACTCTTCCATGGACTCTACGCTTGCGGCTGAAGTCCATCTGAGAGACAAGGTGTTGACATGGGGAGAACAAAAAAGTCCAATGTTTATACAACACAACAAGAAATGAAAGACCCCCCGGTTTAGCCTTTAACAGACTAGGGCCAAGTCCTGTTAGCGAGTAGCACCTATGAAGGTCAGTAAAAGCACAATAGGGGTGGGTGGCCAACACCACACCCTTCCGCCTTTGTCTCCCCAGTGCAGATTAAATTAGTACCTGGGTTCTCATTTAAGGCCGAGTCGATCTAGAGGATGCCCAGGACCAGTTCAATATTCGCCACTCGGTTGGGTTTGTAGCGCGAAACACCGGCGGTGACGTCACCACAGCGCTTGTACCAGGCTAGGTGCACTTTGAAGCTACGTGAAGTGTGGAAGGCTTGCTGACAGGAGGATCACGGGGCAGACCCAGCAGGTGCTAGGGGCTAACTGCGCGAGCTGGACAGAGATCAGCGGTGCGCAGCTGGAGGTGCTGGGTGCAGCTGGAGGAGCGCAGCTGGAGGTGCTGGGTGCAGCTGGAGGTGCTGGGTGCAGCTGGAGGTGCTGGGTGCAGCTGGAGGTGCTGGGTGCAGCTGGAGGTGCTGGGTGCAGCTGGAGGTGCTGGGTGCAGCTGGAGGTGCTGGGTGCAGCTGGAGGTGCTGGGTGCAGCTGGAGGCTGGGTGCAGCTGGAGGTGCTGGGTGCAACGGCACTCACTGTCGGCACGCGTGAAGCACTCGTGGCAGTGGAGGCGTCCGAGCGGAGTCTCACGTCGACCCCGGAGCCCATGGTGGTCAAACCACCTCCGCACACCCCGCACTGACGCGCACGCGCGCACGCACACACACAGGGGGGTGAGTATAGGCAGCTGCATTGGTGTAAACAGTGAAAGTGCCTTAGTGTGCATGCGTGTGCGTTAGTGTAAGCGTGTATGAGTGGACGCGTGTGTATATCCGAGTGCGTGGCTCCATCATCAGCTGCTCCCCGGTTGGACCCACCTTGAAGCACTCGAGGTGGAAGTAGACGTTGAGGGACTCGATGAACATGGCCGCCCCCTTGCCCACCGAGCTCTGGCAGCCCCAGCACTGCTTCTTGCTGCTCGCCGGCCTGAGCAGGCGGCACACGAGACGCATCACACCGGGGCGGCGACCGACACGCGAACCGGCGCGGTAACGCGGCGGTGCACGGCACGTCGCTGCCGTGAGCGCAGACCGACGCGTCTTGTCGGCACACGGTACACCAGACCCCCCTGCCAACTCCCTGCCAACTCTCAACCCCCCCCCCACTCCCGTCCTGCCCACCCCTGTTACCTGTCAGGTGCGGGCTCCGGCGACACCGGAGATGAACGGTTCCATGAGCCCGGGCCGTCCGTCATGTCCGTGCTATAGCAGCAACAACAGCACAGGCAAACACAAAGAAAAAGATAAAGATCCCCCAGATAGCATTGTTGGAGCTTGTGCTATTGGCGACGACCTCAGAAGGCCAGCAGAGGGTGGGGGAGCATCACGCCCAGTCCCCTTTGTCTCTCTGTCCCCCCCCCCTTGTCTCCTGAGTCACCGCGCACAACTCATTTCCCTTTGTCTCCCTGTGCCTCCTTGCATCTTCCCATTGTGTCTATCCCCGACCTTCGACCCCCGACCCTCGACCCCCGACCGGTTGGTTGCGCCACTCACGGCCGCAGTCCCATGTCGTCGCACTGCCGGCGCACGTGGCTCAGCTCGCTGGCGATGGCGCTCGCGCGATCGTGCTCCATCTCGCCCATCGCCAGCGAGTGCCGGATCCAGCTGCGGTCGCCGCCCAGCGTCGACGAGCGCTTGGTGCGGAACTCGACCCCCGAGCTCCTCTTCCACTCGTCGTCGGCGCGGCGGGGGGCCGGCACCGCCGCCCCCGCCGACCCCCCAACCGCGGCGCCGGCGCCGGGCTTGCCGCGGTTGCGGATCCAGCTGGCTTCCGACGTCACCACGGCCGGCTTCTTGAGCTCCTGCAGAATGCGCTGGCGCTCCTTCTCCGCCTGCGAGGCGGTTCGCGCCTCCTCCCGCGCCAGCGCCGGCTCCTTGAAGCCGAGGCTTCCTCGCGCTGCGCACAGACAACGCAAACGCATTCGGAGACACACACGCGCAAGACGCACAGATTCACGCAACAATAACAGCCGCCATTCGCCACAACTTCAAAACTGCCGTTCGCCACAACGTGGTGATGTCACCACGGCGCTTGTGCCAGGCTATGTGCACGTTAAGGCCGCGTGAAGTGTCGAACGCCTGCTGGCAGGTCACGGGACTGACCCAAGTGCCATGGATCAACTGACTGAGCTGACTGAGATGACTGGCCGATGCACCACCTGTGCCCCCTACTGTGCCAACTTGTTGTGTTTTAGCCACTTGGCGTCGCTCCTCTGCCCTCCGTTGTTGCTGAAAGGTGACTGCCTCCAACTGCCCAGCAGCAGCAGCAGCATCTTTCACTAGCCTCCTCCACAGAGTCCGATTTTAACACCGATGGTACCAGTCATCGGCAAGTCCACTCAGCTCCACGTCCTCTTGTATCATATCACTCCATCTCTTCTCTAGCCCGTGCCGCTCCTGTTTAGCCCCCTCGATCCGGTCGAACAAAAGCTGTTTAGGCATGCGGTGGGGCTGGGCATGCGGGCTACATGACATTCACCACAAACACACTGGCACACACGCAACAACAACCGCTATTCACCACTAGATGGCAGTCATGTCACAACAGTGCTTGTGCACTTTGCGGCCACGTGAAGTAGCGAAGGCTCGCCGATAGGATGTCACGGCACAGAGACCCAGGTGCCAAGGGGTTGACCGACTGAGATGACTGCAGATGCACCGGCTACACACGCACTCGCGCACCGCCGCCACGCCACGCAAGCGAGACGCCGGCCTCGGCGGGCGATAGGCGGCCGCGGGGGGCGTGGGTGGAGGGGGGCGGCACTCGCCTCGCGCCGCCGGGTTTGGGTATTTCATCTGCTGCACGATCTGCCTCCTCTCCTCGTCCAGGACGGCCGGGTCGGGGCGGCGCTGGTCGCCGGCCCGGGCCTCGCCCCCGAGGGCGCCAGCGCAGACAGCCTCTGGGTGTTCGCTTCCTCCAGCAGCTTCTGCGCCATGTTCCCCGTGGCGCGCTGCACACTCACTGGGGACGCAACGCGGCCACGCGGCCACGTCACCGGGGGGCGCACGGACGGAGGATGATGCAGGGCAGTGGCTCTCAACAACATTTTTTGGCTACTGTACCCCTTTTTGAATTTTGCCTGATACAACGTGGTTCTGAGAAATAAATGTATGAATAATGAACATCAATATTTTAATCAATTGTCCATTTTGTGCGGTATCTTGACAAGCCAATAACTGCAAGCAAATATGTTTTTTTAAATGGACGCTCTACATACGTGATGTAATCTGCTCGCGCTCCCTAGTTACTCTTGGAAACCACATTGCGCTAAAATGAGTTTAGAAAAGGTATTTTATATATGGATTATATTGGCAGATTCATACGTGATTATTCACCAATGACTGTCATGTATGATATCATTTCACATATTTATAAAGCACCTCCCTTATCCCCTGGGAAATTGCCACGGAACCTCTAGGGGTCCCGCGTACGCCCAGTTTAGAACCACTGATCTCGGGTGAGTGGTGGTGTAGTGGTGGTGGTGGTAGTGGTGGTGGTGGTAGTGGTGGTGGTGGTAGTAGTAGTGGTTGTGGTGGTAGTGGTAGTGGTGGTGGTAGTGGTGGTGGTGGTAGTGCTGGTGGTGGTGGTGGTAGTAGTAGTGGTTATGGTGGTGGTGGTAGTGGTAGTGGTGGTAGTGGTGGTAGTGGTGGTGGTGGTAGTGGTGGTGGTGGTAGTAGTAGTGGTTGTGGTGGTAGTGGTAGTGGTGGTGGTAGTGGTGGTGGTGGTAGTGCTGGTGGTGGTGGTGGTAGTAGTAGTGGTTATGGTGGTGGTGGTAGTGGTAGTGGTGGTAGTGGTGGTGGTGGTAGTGCTGGTGGTGGTGGTGGTGGTAGTAGTGGTGGTGGTGGTGCTGGTGAGGATATCGGATGAGTCGCGACGATGCGGTGAGGGGACGTCAACATACCGGGCTTGTGCTGGGGCCCTGCGTCGCTCTCCGTGTGGACCCGCGTCCACGCGCGTGCCGAGCCCCTGACGGACACAAAGACACGACCATCAACCACCGCCGTCATCATCCACCTTCGTCCATCGCTAAAATCTCGACTCGTTACGCAGTGCTGCCAACACAGGTCCGCTCGTTCTCCGAGAGAGAGAGGGGGGACGACTCGGAGGCGCCAGGAGGAGGAACCGCAGACGAGCAGGGGGGGAAGCCGGCAGCAGCCACGCGGTGAGTCGGCACAAAGTTTATGCCCCAAGCTCTGCGGTCCCCTGTGTATTAAGGTGTTAGCAGAATCCGGAGCACCCCGAAAACACTTACGCGTGCCAGGAACCACTCCACACGTGGCGAGGCAAATGGAACAGGCGGAGTCCCCACATTTCAGTCATTCAAATTTGCTCATTTAACACTCAAATCCGTCAAATCCGGTTCAACGCGATGGGCGTTTTTTCTGGTGACCGGCCTGAAGCCCAGCATTGCTCTCGAGAGAACCCGGATTCATCGTGGGCGCCTGAAACAACCCGGACGGGAACGCCAGGACGGCGGCAGTGCCGGCTCGGCGCTCGGGGGGGGCCTCCTCGGCCACTGCGCTTCGTGTGGAGCGGCAGGAAGCGGCGCCTCCGAGTGCCGCCGAGCCGGCCAGTAACGCAACCCCCCCCCCCCCCCCCCCCCCACGGTGGCGACACGGCGGTCGGCTCCTCACCTGGCGCCGGCGGGTCGCCGCGACGGCGGCCTGCTCCTCCTGCCGTCGCCGCTCCTTCTCCACCACCTCCTTCCTCTTCCTCTCCTCCTCCTCCTCTCGTCTCTTCCTCGCCGCCGCCGCCTTCTCCTCCTCCCGCTTCCTGATTTCCTCCTCCTCGGCCGCCGCCGCCGCTCGTCTGCGCGCCTCCTCGATCGCTCGCTGGCGGCGTTGCTCCTGCTCCTGCTCCAGACGGAGCCGACCCTGCTCCATTTGGCGCTTCCTCAGCTCCTCCTCCTGCCGCCTTCGCTCCTCCTCCTCATTTACCTGCTGCTGCCTGCGTGCTTCCTCCTCCTGCCTACGCTCCTCATCATCATCATCATCCTCCTCCTCCTCCTCTTCCTCCTGCCTGTGCTCCTCCTCCCCCTGCCACCCGCGCTCCTCCTGTTCTCTCTTCTGCCTGTGCTCCTCCTGCTCTCTCTTCTGCCTGTGCGCCTCCTCCTCCCGCTTGCGCTCCTCCTCCTCCCACTTGCGCTCCTCCTGTTCTCTCTTCTGCCTGTGCTCCTCCTCCTCCCGCTTGCGCTCCTCCTCCCGCTTGCGCTCGGTCTCCATGGCAGCCAGCCTCAGATCCTCGGGGTTCGGCTCAATGGTGCGGGCGCGCGGGGCGGGGACGGGCGGCGTCTGGCTCCACAGTGGGACCTTCGCACACACAGACAAAGGACCCCCCCCCCTTGTAACCTTCACAGACTTTTGGGGCAAGTGCTGTTCGTGGGCACCTATTAAGGGCACCACGGCACACGAGGGAGGTGTGACCAGTGCCACGCCCCGTCACCTTTGTCTTCGCGGTGCTGATTGTTTGCACACCGCACCGAGGGACTTCGTTTAAGGTCAAGGAGGCCCAGTTCAGATCCATACGCCAGTGATGTTGGCCACGAGCGGGAATCGAACTTGGGTCGTTGGGTTTGTACCGAAATGCGCGAACCAATGCCGTGATGGCACTCTGGCCGTCGCGTAGTCACGGCACGGAGAATCCCTTCGTAAATCTCAGAGTGGCGCGATCCTTAATGTTCTAGAACGGCCCGCCGAAGCGGATATCACAGAGCCACCTCCGAGCCTCCTTCTGCAAGCGACCTCTGGGAGTCCGTACACGGCAGAGGGCGGCGCTATCACACTCGCCCTGCCCTACGAGAGCAGTGCTCGTCGCACGAAGCGTCGATCCTGCGTCGTCGTCGCGCGCGACTCACCGGCTGCAGCGGCGGGGGCAGCTCCGCCGTGCTCTCCACTGCAAGAGACGACAAGAGGGCAGGGCGCGGTCGTTAGGGGTCGCGTCCGAGACACGGGGCACGCTCGCGCAACGGGCGTCAAGCCAAGCGCGACGGCGCGGCGAGGGGTGAGCGGCGGCGCCAGCGATACAAATGGGGGAGCTGCAAAGCGTCGGGGGGCGGCCGCCGAGAGAGGAACACAGCCGGTGCGGCGGCGCCATCCAGCAGCGGAGCGTGCAGAATCATTAGCAGCAGCGGTTTCAGAGTTAATAGCACCATCAGCAGCAGCAGCACCAGCAGCAGCATCAGGCAATTCTTGTGCATTGCAGCAGTGGACAAATCTGCTGAGATTGCGAGGGATCCAGAGAGGTCAAAGGTGAGCAGAGGTTCCAGGCTGTGTGAAGGAGTTCAGCGTGGGGGTGTAGGGGGATGGTGTGGGGAAGAGGGGTGGGGGATCACCTGGGAGTCCGAAAAATTGGGAGCGTCTCATTTGGTTCTTGCGGCTAATGGACACCAAGTCGAGACTGGAGCCACCTGGGGGTGCAGGTGAGGGGACACACCTGAGAAGGCGGCCAGCGTGCGTGCCAGTCCATGTGTGTGTGTACGTGTACGCGTGGTGCATGCCAGCACGTACGCTGTGGGCACCTGTCTCTTGCCGAGCGACTCTTCCCACAGTGCCCGCGAATCAACGAGTGACAGAATGAATGGCGAATTCACGAAACAAATGTATTGTTTACAAAATGAATTCATGACCGAATGAACACATCACAGAATGTAGGAAATGAATTAATAGCAGAATTAATGAGATAATTAATCGCGGAACTCACCGTTGCTCTCCGCTTCTCCCTGCGGCTCTTTCCCCACACACGCATCGTCCCAGAGCGACGTGGAAACCGGGGCCTGCGGGAGTCGACACAGCAAGTCGTCACGTCGGCACGTCGGCACGCCACGGCTCATCATCACACAACATTGTCCCGGCATGTCCGACACCAAGCGTACAGCTTATACTCCGATTAAGTCAGATGACACAATCAGCGACGTTCAGCAAAATTAATGAGTGAGAGATTGAATGTCCCCACTCGCCACCACCCTTTCCACGACTCACTCATCACCACCCCAAACCAGCGAAACAGAAAGAGGCAGGGGCCTACATGAGGACTAGCAGGGCCCAAATAGGCAGAGAGCCAAGAGAAGAAGAGGAGGAGATGATGATGTGGGGCCTGATCAGGCAGGGGCGGGGACTAAGGAATAAGGGGGCGGGGCATGAAGAGGTGTGGGCGGGGCCTACAGCTGACGCTTAGAATCCCAACACGTGCAGCAAAGCGTGAGCGCCGCAGGGGCAGGCCAAGGCCGACTGGTCATGAAGTCACGAATGAATAGGACCGTGCTGCTTCCTCTCCACGCCCCCCCCCACGCCGCCACTGCGTGCCCTCACCTGAGGGGGGGGAGCGGCGGTGAACACGGCGTGGTGCGGCGTCTGCGCCACCTGCACCAGCGGCTCGATCTCCGCGGGAGGCGCCTGCGGGGAGACACACGGAGACACCGCGGTGCGGTCAAGCGGGGCCGGTGTCTCCCGCCACGTCCGCTAGCGGTCGATCTTACCCCCCCCCCCCATCCAACCCCCCCACATTTCTCTCTCCCACTTTCCGAAAGTTCTTCTTCTTGGTTCTTTCGGTAAAGTCACGTAGAAGGGAGATAATAGAAAAAGAAAAAGAAAATATAATAAAATAATTCTCACGACGTTTCGGCCACAACCCAAGCAGCCGTCCTCAGGTGAAGAACAGGTCTGTCGGAAAGACAGCGTCTGAATGAGCACCACCAAGCTTGGCAGCGTATATTTAATCTGGGTTAGAGGAGGAATTTAGGATATTTATGAAAAATGCAACTTGGCGCGGCGTGGTGCTCGTACCTTGGTGGGGGGGCGAACAGAGGCCTGCGCCGCCCTCTCCGACTCCGTGTCGCTGAGCTCCTCGCTGCTGCCCCACCGATCCTGGGCGTCCCCTCGTGAGTCCGAGTGAGTCAGCGACCCCGTGACCCGGGCACCGTCGACGGAGGACCCTACCTTGAAGAGGTTCTCCGCCTGTTGGGGTTGGGGAGTGGGGGATGGTGGGGGGGGGGGGCAGCGACACGAAGGGTAAGAAGTGAAAGGTCACGACCTCCCAGACCCACCGTTCACGTGGGTTGGGGTGGTCCTCATCGAGCAGTGCATTGACCAATTATCGGCTGCCGTGAACCGGGGTTGCTGAACGGCAATCCTTAACGGGAATCGATCAGCCGCTAACCGTGTTCGAGATCGATGATCGATTCCAAAGTCCGGAACCGGCGGGTCGCCAGGACCGTCGGGACCCCGGGTCGAGCCCTCACCTGGTAGGTGCGCGGTAGGGACTGGAGGCTGCGGGGCGCAGCGCTGAAGGGGCGCGGGCCGGTGCCCGGGAGCACGCGCACGCCCTGGACACCGGGGCGCACGCCCACGACGCGCTGCGCGACGCCGGCACTCCACGGCTGGGGGCCCGCCGCGGGGCCCCGGCGAGCAGCGCCGGGGCCGACGGAAGTCACGGAACTCGGCTCCGCCGCACGGCTGCCGTCGTCGTTGGCCTGAGCGACGGGGCCCGGCGTGGAGGAGTAGAGGGCAGCCGAGACGCTCTCGTGGACGATCTTCGTCTCCGAAACGCGGATCGGGCGAAGCGGACGCTTCTCGAAGGAGGCGTCCTCCGACGCGAAGACGCCCAGAGAAGCGGCGGTGGCGTTGGCGACGGGGCGTGGAGGGGCGGGTTCCTCGGGTCTCGGAACCTCGGGGCCCCGAGCGAGAGGAGCGCGCGGGGGGCCGACGGGCCCCGGTGGGGCCGCGTCCCCGTCGCTATCGTCGTCGCTGCTATCGCGCGGCGCCGGCGGCGGCGGCAATTCCTTCTCCGCGACGATTCTGCGCAGAGGGGCAACCGGCGGCTCGGGAGAGGCTCGTGCCGCCGGGCGGAGGGCTGCCGGGGGGTCGGCGAGGCCGCTCAATGGCGCTCTGCCCGAGGAGGAGGAGCGGACGCTGCTGTCGACGCCGTCGTGCGGAGAGGAGAAGACGTCATCCGTGCCGTGGAGCTGATCGCCGTAGCCGTTCTCGCGGTCGCGCGCGCGGTCCTCCCTGCCACCGGGACGCCAGGGGGTGCGGGGAGGGGGGAGGAGGTGGGGGAGTGGGTGACTGGGGACACAAAGGTGGCTGGGCATGGTGCTGGCCGCACGTGCCCCAACATGTCTGTGGACGGTGCGTTTGTGTGCGCGTGGTGCGATCCCCGTGGTGTGACGTCACACGGCCCCCCGTGACTCCGTGACCCCGAGGTAACACCGTGTCACCCCCTCACCTGTTGTGCATCATCTGGGCGTAGGTGCGGATCTCCCGGGCGGCGGTGGCCGGGCCCTCGGCCTCCGAGGCCGTGCTGAGCCGCTTCAGGCTGCCCGAGGTGCTGCGGCGCCGGTTCTTCCAGCGAGCTAGATCCTGCCAGCGGCAAAAACGCAAATGAAGGCAGCGATCCCCCGTGTAGCCCACACAGGCTGTTAGGGCAAGTGCTGTTAGCGAGCACCTTTCAAGGCCGCCTTTGCCACCATAGTGCTGACGTTTACGCACCGCACCAGGTACTCATTTAGGGCTGAGTCGACCTCGGGGAGGTCCTGGAGCGATTCAAATATTCGCCACTGGTGTTGTGGCTGTGAGCGGGAATGGAACTCGACCTCTAAACGAGGCGATTAAATCGCTCCATCTCCGCGGCAGACGCCCTGTGTGGTGTGCACGGAACTCACATCCTGCCACTGCTCCTCCTGCTCCTTGCCCTCCCCGCGGATCTTCTGCAGCTCCTCGTAGTGGAGCAGGATGCTGGAGCGAGCCGCTCCTTCTCCGGCCACATCGGTCAGGCTCTTGGTCCTGCGGGGCACGAGAGCCGTGAGCAGCGTCCGGCAACAGCCACGGGGCGCAGCCACGGGCGAGGATTCCCAGTGCTCCCAAAACACCCGGCATGACCGAAGCAAGCATCAGCCAGCTCTCAGAAAACAGGCAAAGATTCCCCCCCCCCCCCGTGTGTAGACTCCACAGGCTGTTAGGGCAAGTGCCGTTAGCGAGCAGCACGCATGAAAGACCGGCGCGGCACGTGAGAGGGCAGCCACCATTTCCCCGCCCAGTGGCGATGTTCATGCAACAGCAAAACAGGTGCTCAACGGAGGCCGAGTCGACCTAGGGGCGGGACCCACGTCCGGTTCTGATGCTCATCGCGGTGTTAGCCGCACGAAGACTAAAGGGCTTGGGTCTTTTGGTTAGCGCGGCGCGCCGACTGCGGTGCCACCGCTCCACCCAGCACAACCTCTTGCTAGGACACCGAGCGGCACGCCGTGGCACCCAGCGGCCCCGGCATCGCCACCCTGCGGCGGTGGGGGGCACAGTGCTGGAGCGTGACTGGCAGCAAGGGCCCTGGTGCCAGCAATGGAATGGGGACCTCGGTCCAGTTTCGTCCCCCTCTCTTCACAGCTCAGGGCCTGAGCTCTGCCTGCCCATGGGAACCCCGAGCAGTTGAAGTGCCCCCATACTCGCTAGCCTCGCCACTGATAACCCAGCTCTCTAGCCCGTCTAGAACACCACACTCAGCTCTCTAGCCCGTCTAGAACACCACACTCGGCTCTCTAGCCTGTCTAGAACACCACACTCGGTTCAGTCACCCTCCTAGAGCACCATGCGAATTGACACCTCGGACACCGTTGCGAGCAATGCGAGTCAATATCCCCGTTCCTCCTCATTTGGGCCACTCTGGCTCAACCCTCCCCCCCCCCACCCCCCACCAGTCCCCGGCGCAGTTGCACCACCTGCACACCAGCCAGCTACACCAACGGTGCCGCCGGCGCTCTGCGGCTTGACGAGAGAAGCAGCCGCCGAGCGGAGAAGCGAAACCTTGGGGGGAGCTGCGTTAGTTCACGACACCACATGCGGGGTGGGGGGCAGTGCGGGGTGGGGGGGGGCACAGCACCCGGCGGCGGTGGGCTGTGCGAGTCCTGCGGGCGAGGGGTTAAGGGGTTTAAACCGCGAGGCGCGTGCAGCCGTGCCCAGCACCAGCAGCGGTGCCCAGCACCAGCAGGGGGGGGGCTCAGCCCGGCGCGGGGGGAGGAAAGGACGGCGAGAGACACCGGCATTCCGAAGCGGTGCGGCCATGCACGCGCGGGAAGGACGCGTCACTCACCCGTCAGGATCCACCTCGGTGGACTCCGATTGCTCCCTACGGGGGACGACATTGGACAACACGGCACTCGGCTCAGGGTCTGCGTGCGGTTGGACTCCCTAAAGTGGCCGAGCCGAGCTCACGGAGTGGCCGGGACGTCGCCGGGGCGGCCTCGTATAGTCGGAGGATAACGTCGCGCGACGGTGCACGACGGTGCACGACGGGCCCAATGGCCCTGGCGGTCCCGAAAACCGACGATTCCAACAGTCCCAACGATCCTGACGGTCCCAACGATCCCAACAATCCCAACAATCCCAACATTCCCGACGATCCCAATGATCCCAGCGATCCCAACAATCCCAACGATCCCAACAATCCCAACGATCCCAACAATCCCAACGATCCCAACAATCCCAACGATCCTGATGATCCTGACGGTCCCAATGATCCCAACAATCCCAACATTCCCGACGATCTCAACGATCCCGACGATCTTGACGAATCCCATGGCGAACCGAGGCAGGATCCCCGGTGCGCACCTGGGTACGCGTGGTGACAGAGCCGCAGCCCGTCAACTGCTTGCCGACACCCACTGCTGGCGGGAGGTGCCTCCACGAGAGGGAGCTCTCGAGATCCCCTACAGAGAGCGTGTTTGGCCTACTCTTCCATGCTGGACGGACGTCTTGTGGGGCACCCACACTTATATATATTTTAAATTATTTTAATAATAATTGTAGCGATAAAGTTTGTTTACGCAGAAAGCCTCACCGAGTCTCACGACACTTTTCTAGTAGGGTCCTGCCGGGGTTTTGTTTTGCAGTGCGAGGCGATGTTGCCGCTGTGTGTGATCCAATTTAAGCGATTTGCCGTTTATTTATAATTTTGCGCATTGGGATGTTGTGGCCGATGTGTGTGATTCTATCCATGGGAGGAAACTGGAGGACCCGGAGGAAAACCGTGCAGAACAGGGGGAGGAGAGAACACACAAACTGCACACAGATAGGAGCCTGTGTGGGAAATCGAACCCGGGCGCTTCTTGCTGTGAGGCGCGAGTGTCGCCACTGCACCGCCAACCACCACCACCCTGCTGCTGCTGCTGCTGCCCCTGACGCACACGGGAGTCAGCTCTCCATCTCAACCCCGCAACGCCGCGTGGATCCCTCACTCCGGCCGTGGCCATTCACAGCCACCGGCCATTCACAGTCCCCCCCCCCCCCCACTTTGGGACTCTTAGAAGCCACGATGCTGTTGCTATTGACGAGTGATGACAGCGCTAGTGATGCCGATGATGTTCTTGCCTGACAACGAAACATTCAGCGAAAAAACGAATCCCGGAGAGGCTGAAGTACTCCCGCCCCCCTCCCCCCCCCGTTCACCACCTGGCACGATGCCTCCCCCACCCCCATACCGCTCGTCCTACGCCCAACAGCCCTCCCACACAGCACCCCTCCCCCCCTCAAGCAGACTCCCCGGCACACAGGGGCCTCCTCACATGCACGGCGCAGGCTCCGGGCTCTCCACGTGGACCCTCTCGGCGAACAGCAGCAGCCCCTCCACGGGGCCCTCCACATGCCCCTGCTGCTGCTGCTGCCGCTGCTGCTGCAGCTGTTGTTGCTGCTGCTGCCGCTGCTGTTGCTGCTGTTGCTGCCGCTGCCTGTGGATGTCAGCGGCGGCGGCGGTGGCGCCCCCCTCCCGTCGCGGCCCCGTGGCCCCCGTGTGGTGGCGGTGGTCCTGGGCCCGGCGGGCTGCGGGGTTCGGCAGGAAGCGGTTGAAGGCCATGGCTGGGCGCGCCACGGGAAGCGAGGCGGCGGTGCGCCGCGCCGTCATGTCGTCCCTGCGCACGTCGGGCACCCTCTCCTCCTCCCCCTCGTCGTCGTCGTCGTCGTCGCCGCCGCCGCCCTGGTCGTCGCGAGCCGGGCTCAGGAATGCGTTCTCTCTGCGAGTGAGGATTTTCGGGGAGGGGGGGGCGCCGTCGGGCGGCTGGGTGGTCGGCCCCCACGTTGGGGAGGGGCTCAGGGGGGGACTGCAGCAGGTATGGACAGAGCAGGGGGAGCAACAGGGGGAGCAACAGGGGGAGCAACAGGGGGAGCAACAGGCAGAGGGGAGAAGGAGAAGGCAGGTGAGAGAGAGAGGAGCCACAACAGCGGTGGAGGCTGCGTGGAGACCTCCTCCAGCAGGAGGAGGAAGAGGCCACCCCCGGTAAGGTGAGAGGTCAAGTGTGAAGAGCAGAGCGAGCCGCCAGGCCCGAGCGGTGGGCACCGAGCCCAGAGCGCGAGGGCCCAAGGGACAGAGCCGAGCGGCCACGGGGGTGGGCCCTGAGAATTAGACCCCAAACGGGGGAAGGGAGCAAGTTGCTTTGGCAGACAGCCGGGAGGAGCGGAGTCTCCTCCGAGCGACAAGGAGAGTGAACCGTGGCTTTCTCAAGTTGGCGACAGGTTTCCGGGGCCTCGCTGGGGCCGCTGGCAGCTCGCCGTGCGGGCGCTTGCGCCCTCCTCCCTCGGGGCACCGAAGCGCAGGCTCCCTGCCCACCTGCTGCGGGGTGGCCGCTGCTGCTGTTGCTGCTGCTGCCGCGAGGCGCCGTGTCGAGTCGCCCGCACGACGGCGTCCCAGCGCCGCGCGTCGCGCTCCGTGCAGGGCGTCGGCAGGAAGTTGCGGGGCGAGGCGGCCGCGGGGCCCCGCACCCCGAGGGCCCGCCGGGCCGCCAGGTCGTCGCGCTCCACGTCAGGGACGCGGCGGTCGTCCTCCTCCTCGTCGTCGTCGTCCCCGTCGGAGCCGCCGTCGGCGCCGCTCAGGAAGGGGTTGTCCCTGCGCGTGATGATGTCGGGCGAGCGCGCCCCCTCGTGCTCCCCGTTCTCCTCCGCGCTGCGCCGGCCGCCGTCAGGGAGGGCACAAACGCCTGGACCATCATCTTCGGCAGCGGCGGCGGCGGTGGCCGTGTCGACCCGCCGGTGCTTTAGTGGGAGTTAGTGTCACCGCAATCTTCGCGAGGAGGAGGAGGTTAGTGGCGCCGGTGGCAGTGGTCGCCGGCGTTAGGCGATGGCGGAGTCGAGGGCGACGAGCGTGCCCTCCGAGTGCTCACCCCCCCCCCCCCCCACTCAATCCCGCACTCAAAACGCAGGCAGGCGGGCGGCACATTCCCACGGGCCCGCGGGGAACCCCTCAAACCCCTGACCCCTGCTCGTACCCCCGCTGCTGGGGACCCCTGAACGGGGTCGTTTGGTCGTCGCCGGGGCCGTTACCCCGCCGGCCCGTGGGACTGGCTGGCGCCTCGCTGGCACCGCGACCATGCGGGGGGAGGGGGCAGGCAGGAGGGAGCAGGCGGGGTTGGGGGGGGGGGGAGCCAGAGCCACTCCTCCGAACCTTCCCATCGTCCAGGGTTGCAGCGCCGGCGTAGGGAACCACGGCGGCCGCTGCGCCGCGACGGTGCCCACGGTGCCCGGCGGCGGCGAGGGGGAGGGCGGCGGCGACGACGGCACCGGGGCCGTGCCGCAGACGCCCCGCGTCACGCTGTACCAGCCGGCGCGCTCGCTCCCGTCGGAATCCGACCCCGACCCAGACCTCTCGTGTGCCGGGGTCACCGTCTCGGGGTCGCTGAAGGTCACGCACTTACCCGTGCGCCGGCGCGGGCGCTCCTCCTCCGCGGTGTCATCATCGTCGTCGGGTCTGTGCGGGCCCAGCGCACGACGCTCACCGTCGCGCCACGCTACACCCCGACGACTCCAGTTCTGCAGAGGGCCCCCCAAAATCCCCCCCCCCGCCCCCCCCCCCAAGGAAAATAATCCCCAACCCTAACGGCCTCAAAAAGCCCAAATTCTGACACCCGAGCATCTCCAGAAAATCCCAAAATCATGGGAATCTCTCCCACACCCAGCCCCACTCTCTAACACACGCGCGTACAAACACACATGCATGCACGCACATGCATGCGCACAACAGCAACGGCCGTCGTTCACCACAAAGAGGCTGTGATGCACCCACGCTGCTTGTGCTAGGCTAGGTACACTTTGAGGCTACGTGAAGTGTCAAAAGGCTCGCTGGCAGGAGGTCACGGCACAGACCCAGGTGTTATGATACACGCACGGAACAGTGAAACGCAGGCGGTGGGCGGCCACGGTTCGCGGCGGCGGCGGTGGCGCTACCTGTAGAGGCCGCCGTCGCTGGTGACGGACAACGAACGGCCGGCGCCGTCGGTGTCGTCGGGGCCCTGCAGGGCGAGGCTGCTGGCCCAGCTGCGCCGCGCCACCTCGTTGCGCTCCCCGCGCTTGCGCCGCAGCGGAGCCGGGAGGTGCGCCGACACGACCAGGGCGCTCGTGGCCGGCGCCGTCGCCTGGTGGCGCCCCGGCAGGAACTGGTTGAAGGCGGCGGGCGGCGTCTTGGGCTCGACGGCCGTGGAGACGCGGCGCAGCGACATGTCGTCCCGGCCGGAGGCGCGGCGGCGCACAGCGCCCTCGCTCTCCGCGTCGCTGCCCTGGTAGCCTGGGGTGGGGGGCGGGGCAGCGTCGTCATCGTCAGTGGCACGAGGAGCAGCCACAGTAGCAGCACAATCGTGAACATCAGCATCACTTGCGCCATCATCACTCATCAATAGCAGCAGCATCGTGGCCTCTACAAGGAGGCCCAAGGTGGGGGGGGAGGGGGGGAGGGGGGCTGGTGGGATCCATCACAATCTTGAGAGATGTTGGACAAAAGTTAACTCTCAAGGTCACGCACAAGGACTCTTAACATCCTCATCATCAGCAGCAGCAGCATCACCCTAATCCACCATAGCAGCGTTGCCATCAGTAGCATCGTTAATCGTTATTATCTTCGTCATCGCCATCGTCAAAATCAACAGCCAATTAGATGAACACCCGAGAGACACGGCGATGGCGAGCGTCGCGTCGCGTCATCCCCACCTTCTCCGCCGTCCCTGGGCGCGTCGGGAGAGAGCGGCCGGGAGCCGGCGGAGCCGAGGGAGCCGAGGGAGTCGAGGGAGTCGAGGGAGTCGTCGCGTACGTGCGAGGGCGGAGAAAGCGAGGCGCTGCGCTCCGAGTCGCAGCTCTCCAGGTACCCGCTGTCGCGCCCGCCGCCGCGCCACCCACCGGCCCCCCCCTCGCCCGCCTCCTCTGCCTGCGGCCACACGGAAATGGGATGACGGTGGCTCGCACGGTGGCACGGTGACTCGCGGCATCTCACACGGTCACATGGAATCTCGCACGGTGACGGTCCGGCCTTTGCAGACGATGACTCGGTGTGAAAAATGAATGGCGACGTCCACGCCGCCACCGCCGACATGTTTAGAAATAGGAACGCGTTCACAACAATGTGACGGCCACACATAGACGAGTATTTGGAGAACGAACCAAAATACTTTTTACCGGAAGGAGAGTCGGATGGGGGGAGACGCTCTCTCGCTACGGACAGACGCTTTATAAATAGAGCCACGCGACACTTGCGACACTTGCGACACTTTGGGGCCCCGCGGTGGGCACCGGAGAGCAGCACAGCAGCAGGGCCAGCTGTTGTACTGCACTTCTACGGCCCCACGCCGCAGAACCGCACCGACCAGCACGGTTAAGAGCGGTCGAATAACGGCCACAAACCAGACAGCATCGTGGTGGGGCGGGGGGTGGGGAAGACTCTCAGTTAGCAGTGGCTCGATCATAACCGGTGATGATGACGATGACAACGCCGACGATTGTAACGCTGCGTTGTGTCGAAGGAGGCACCTTGCCGTGTGCCCCGCTGCCGGAGAGGACCCCGTCGAAGGCCCGCAGGCCCAGCGCAGGGCCCTGGTAGTCGCGAGAGGTCTGCGCCGCCCGACCCAGCCAGTAGAGGGTGATTAGCACCTGAGAGAGAGGTGGGGGTTGGGGAAGGGGACAGTGATAATAACAATGAAAGTTACTCATCCCGCGAGGAAGGCAACACCGAGTCCGAAGGCCCTTTTTGCAGGAGGGTCCTGCGTTGGGACTTTTGCCCAACACCGGTTAAACATCGCACGGTGATTTATAGCACTCACGCCGAGGAGTAGACCGGGGGAAGAACATGCACGTGCAGACGCCACATGCAGACGCCACACAAATGCACCCGAGTCGGGAACTGAACCCAGGTTCCTTGTTGCTGTGAGGCGCGTGTGTTTGATGAGGTGTGTGTGAGGAGTTGTGTGAGACGAGGTGTGTGTGTGACGAGGTGTGTGTGTGACGAGGTGTGTAGCTGCTCACATTTTTCAGGCGTCTGTCGGTCTCCGCTTCACTGCAAGACACGGACACGAGACGCGGTCAGAGACGTGTGGACACAAGTGCTGTTAGCGAGCACCTATTAAGGTTGCCATGGCACTGCAGGTGGCGGCGTGGTCGGCCCCATGCCTGGCCACCTTTTGTCTCCCCACTGCTGATGTTTACACGCAAGCAGGCACAGAGCCGTAGGTACACAGTGACACATAGAGCACACAAGGGCCTGGGAAAAAAACATTGACACACAGGGACACACACACACACAACACAGTCGGACAAATAACACAGACACACAACACAGAAACACAAATACAACACAAGGACACACACGCAGCACAGTCACCCTTTTGCGATACACTGTATATACGTACTGACGATAAATTATCGCTAAAAGCGGTTTTTTTTATTAGCAGCGTCTGGTGGCTGGAGCCACATGACACCATAACGTCTGGTGCTCGTGACCACTAAGCGGACTCTCCCTTATCTCCAGCTCGCTCTCCTCTCTCTCGCCAATCTCGATCTGTCCGTCACAGTTCGGCCGTATCTCTCAGCGGGCCACAATTCCCGCGGGACAATCATCCGACCCCTACCGCAGGTCGCCAGGTGAAGACCGCGGGCCCCCGAATCGCAAATCACAATCGTGTCTCGCTCACGACTCGAAGGCGCGTGTCGCAGGCGTATACGTGCACTTTGGTTTTCACTTAACTCTTCATTATTCACTTCGTCTTTGTGGCCTCCCGATTATCCACGTGCTGTGAAGAAGGGCCCATTGCCCGAAACGTCACCCATTATAGATTTACCTTTTTAAGGCCACGCACGGTGTCGATTATTTATCCGTGCTCATTGACGTCTCCAGGGATAAATGGTGGAAACGAAATCTCTGCAGACGCGACGGTGACACCGCTGACCGACACTCGGCCGACCCAGCGTGACCCCCCCCCCTCCCCATGGCGTGGACACGCGGCCTCGGTCGTGCGTCACGGGGTCACGGACACAGGGTCACAGCGTCTCGGGGTCATGGACACAGGGTCACAGCGTTTCGGGGTCACGGACGCAGGGTCACAGCGTCTCGGGGTCACGGACGCAGGGTCACAGCGTCTCGGGGTCACGGACGCAGGGTCACAGCGTCTCGGGGTCACGGACGCAGGGTCACAGCGTCTTGGGGTCACGGACGCAGGGTCACAGCGTCTCGGGGTCACGGACGCAGGGTCACCACGTCTTGGGGGAGGGGAGACAGGAGGAGACGAGCGGGGGTGAGACGACGCCTCCGCCCGCGTCCCCGCGAGAGAGGACGGCCCAAGAGGGGTCCCATCGGGTTTGACGAGACCGAAGATTGCTGGTGGAGAAGACCGCTAAGAGGGACGGAAGCACGGGAGTAGTAGTGCCTCAAGTAGACGTCTCAGGGAGAGAAAACACCGAGATCGTTGATTGGAAGACGGCTAAATGAGACGACCAGCGATGCATCGTTATGACTATTCCACGTGTTCAACCCAAGTGAGTAATTTGCAGGTGATTTTTCATCCTTGGGTTGTCTGGCCAATACCGGTGACTTTCATTGCGTGTGTTGTAGCTAGGGGGGGGACCGAATAAACCCATGCAGAACAGGGGCTAGAAACATAAAAACTCCACGTGGAAATGCGCCCCAGACCGGATTCGAACCCAGGAACCTCTTGCTGCGAGAGGCAGCAGCGTCGCCACTCTACCACCACCCTGCCGCCCATTAACGCACACAGGTAGAGTGCCAGGTAGAGTCTCAGGTAGACGCGACGGGAAAAGGTGTCCCAGCAAGGTGTGGCTCAAGAGGGAGAGGAGGAGAGGAGGCTGGGAGGGGCTCGGTGGTAGTGGCGGTGGTGGCGGTGGTGGCGGTGGTGGCATGTGTGGTGTGGGGAGGGGGGGGAGCTGCATCAGACAGGCCGTGCCGACACCTGAGCTCTTTGTTTCGCTGACGGGCACGGCGCGTCCCGTGAGCCGAGCGGTTCTGCGCCATTCCTTGGCGGTGACGCCACCACCGGGGCGAGTTCCTCAGCGCCCGGTGACAAGTGCGGCAAACACTCGTCGCAGGTAAACACCGCGCACGCGGTGTGGGCACCTGCACGCCGGTGTCACGCACGGCCGGGCCCGTGGTCCCAAGTGACCCTACTTCACCACCACCTCCCTAATCATCCCTTCATTCCACCACCCATTCAACACAACCGCCACCGCCAACCCTAATCAGCCATCCCACCCATCGCTCTCTCCCTCTCGCTCACTCTCCCTCTCTCTCTCTCCAGGAGCTGGGAAAGCAGCTGCCAACCCTCGGTGGCTAAAATTACCCGGGGCCCACATTGCCACACCCAGGCCGGCCACCCGCCCACTGCACCCTCCCACGTGACTCCCCTCGACTCCCCCCCCCCCTTGGTGACTCTCGGCGACTCCTTACAACTCCCCTCTGCCTCCCTGCGACTTTCCCGCGACTCCCTTTGCCGCACCCCGCCGCCTCCCATGCCGCTCCCGTGCCGATCCTGTGCCCAGAGCTAAACGTTGGGGCATCCCGTGGACCTGAGTTCCTCGCTGGAGGAGGAATTCAGGTTCACGGGACGGCGCAGCCTGGCGGCTCGCAAGTCGGAGCGCCGAGCCGGCACCGCTTAACTCCCCGGGTTCGAATCTCTGTTTCAGCCGCCCCCGATTAAACCGGGCCCTCGTGATCAGTGAGTGGATGGTCTCAGCCCAGTCACCAATGACTGCACACACAAAAAAACCACATCGGGTTAAATTTGTTTCTGCACCTATTTTTGGTAAAACGCAGCTATGAAAGTGAGGAATGTTAGTTTGACCATCACGCGATGAACATCGCCTCCATCCAGCAGGGAGGCTGGCAACTGCTGCCCCTTACTGAGCGGACCAGAGGTCACTTGACGTGATCTCAGAGGCAGCTCTGTGGTATCCGCTTCCGTGGGCCATTGTCTACGACGATATGGACACTTTGTTACCACAACGACGATAGATCATCGTCATCATCGTCGTCATCGTCGTCATCATCGTCATCATCATCATCGTCATCATCGTCATCATCCGTCGGCCCACCAGCCACGATGGGGCCGGGGAGCAACTTCGTGCTGCGGTTGTCTTTAGCGGAGACCGCCGCTCCGTCTACTCTCAACCCGTTCTCTTCTGGATCTTTCACCACTGCATCTACCCCCCCCCCCCCCCGCACGCTGGTTTTGATCTCCCTCTACTGCCGTTCTTTCTTGTTGCCGATAGCATCATTGGAGTTAAAGCAGAAGGAGAGATACTTTGGGCGAGAGACGATGACAGACGACGGACGGACGGACGTGGAGGGCACCCAGCGCACGAGCGGAGACACAAAAGCCTCCCTCTCTCCCCCCATGCGCCACTGCAGCTACCATGTGACTTTGCACTGCCCCAAATATAAACTTGAAGGTGGTGGGTGAGTGAGCGAATAAAGTCTGTTAAGGCTCTAAGGGGAATTCTTTGCCTTTGAATGAGTGAGTTAGTGGGTTGGCGGAGTGGGTTGGAAGAGTGGGTTCGCAAGTGAGTGGGTAGGCGCGCGAGTGATTAGGTACGAGTGGGTGAGCGAGTCTACAATTCACCAGCACTCAGACAAAGCAATTGAATGGCTCTCAACTAAATCTCCGATGGTCACTCTTCATTGGCCACACGAGAGTCTAAGACCGTGGTGTAACCTGCGCTCTGGGACTGCCCGAGCCGTGCCTCTTGAAAAGCCAGTCAGTCGCTCCGCTCACGAAGAATGCCCCCGGCCGTGCCCTTTAAAAGTCAGCCTCGTTTGACCGTTCTCCGCAACTGCCCGGGGCCCAGTCTGGCTCCTGCCCCTGCTCTTTCAACGAGCGCGAGCTGTGAATGGCAGACCCGTGAGTATTTTTAGTCAGGGGAGGAGGAGGAGGAGGCACCTGTCAAACCACAGCCCCGGGGCACAGGAATTCACACTGCGGCTGCTCACAGCCGTCCCGGGGAAACAGCCGGCCCTACGCCTGGGGCCCCATGGCCCCTGTGGGCCGGACGTCGTGGCTCTGCTCATGAAGCCCTCCATCTCTCTCTCTCTCAATCACAAATACGTCACCCGGCCCAGAGGTGTCTGGATCACCAGCAGTGGCGGCTGAGAGGAGGAGCACCACTTGGAGAGCTCCCCCACCGTGGACGCTCACAGTGCCCCAGCACACACCGAGTCAATCACCTCCTGATCACTCTCCTATCGCCACGAGCACGGCTCACTGTTCGCTCGAACTAAACTCACCGATGTCGCCACCCGCAGGCCGCAGGTCACCACACTTCCCCTGCCACTTCCCTCGTGCCGTTCGACTCTTGAATTCCCTCCAATCGTCACATTCCCCCAAACTGGTATCATAATAATAATAATCTCGCTCAATTCAAGGAACGTGTTACCTCTCACCTATTACAGCAGTGTACTGTTTGTTACTGGCCATTGGGTGTTCTTTGGGCCTTTGGGCAACTGTGCTCGGCAAGCGCAGCGTACGAATGCGGTAACACGCGAGGATGAGTGGACAGAATCGCAGTGGACAGAATCGGTGTGAACCTGCGGAACGGTCTGTGTGACCTGGCGGGACAAGACTGCGGGCGGCCAACGTTGTGCCTCTGTGGGGCGGCAGCTGCCCGAGCCGAGCGCGCGAGGAGCATGGAAGCGAGTAGCAGCGACGCTCGGGGCGGCCTCGCCGGGCCCCCGTGGGCCCCCGTGGCCAGGTGAGGCGCAAGGGGACAGGGGTCTCTCGTGCACAAACTCAACTTTATCTCGTCTCCCGTTTGCGTGACAGGACGAGTGAGCGACCGGGCCCAGAGTCCGTCCCGAACACTCACTGCCGCGGCCGACCCCGCCCCCCCCCCATCGCGACCCCTGGCTCGTAAACCAAATTGTTGTCTCGTAAATTCCTCTCCGCGGGTCTATATTTAACCGCGCGCTCGCCGGGGCCCGGGATGGACTCCGTGCCCCACGCGCAACCCAGCCCAGGCACACCGTCCCCGACCACAATAACGAGGAGGGACCAGGGGATGAGGGGGTGTGGAGAAGAGGAGATCAATGCGACCGGGGTAACTCGGGGATCAGGAGGTGGAGATATCAGGCGATTAAGTAATGAGGATAATGAGGCTAACAGGTGACCTTTTGAACCAGGTGATAAATAAACAAGGGGGTAGGGAGACCGGGAGATGAGGGGATGGGAGAACCAGAGAATCAGGGGACGTCAGGGGATATCAGGGGGGATGAGGAAGACAAGCCTTAATTCCGCCATCACATCCACACACATCCGCTTGCACCCACACGTAAACCCAACACACCTCGTGCGCAATCGTGAACAAATACGCTCCTCGCACAGACACGCACTCTCGTAAACAGGCAAAGATCCTCCATAGAGCCTTTTAACAGACACGCCACACGGCAGAGACATAAAAAGAAAAACACGCACACTCGCACGCACACTCGCACAAATAAATGCACACATTACTTTAAAAACACACTTATAACATAAATACGCAACTCAGCCACAGCCCGCCTGAGCACAGTGGCCATGTTGCATAGGGAATTCCCGGCAGCCATGCTGCATCAGGATTGTCCTCCTGGCAGCCGACTGTGCGGTGGCGTAGCGGCAGCGAGGACGCAACCCGCGAGCGACCGACGGATGTGCGTCCACCATTGCGATCTCGCTGGGACGCGCGCAGCCAAAACTCCGCACGTCGCCCTCCGCGCTCTCGGGGTCGACGCGAATCGCCGCCCGGTGCGATGGCACGGGCCCCGGGTGCCAGGGGAAGTGTGCGATGCCCCCCGATGCCCCCCGATGCCCCCCGATGCCCCCCGATGCCCCCCGATGCCCCCCGATGCCCCCCGATGCCCCCCGATGCCCCCCGATGCCCCCCGATGCCCCCCGATGCCCCCCGATGCCCCCCGATGCCCCCCGATGCCCCCCGATGCCCCCCGATGCCCCCCGATGCCCCCCGATGCCCCCCGATGCCCCGTCCCGCTGACGCGATGAAAGCCGCCGCACCTGCAGCTGCACCCTCCCGCCCACTCCGCGGTGCAACGGCAGGTGCAGCTCCTATCCCCGATTGCCCTAACTCCGAGTCTCATTGTTTTACCGCCACCAACGTCAGAGCGCGAGGGACGCGGCGGAATGCAGCGCAGATTGCGCCTTGCAGATATGCAAAGGGGACATACCTGTCGTGTGAGGACACACCTGTAATCCTCACCTTTAACCTTTACCTATCGCACCCGCCCCTCGGACCCCCCCCCCCTCCCCGCCGTGGAATGCGTGCAACAACAGCACCGCCCTAGCAGGAGTCACTGGAACGCCAAGGGTGTGGCGGGGCCACCACCACCACCTCCACCTCCACCACGACCACCGCCACTCAAATACCACCACTGAATTACCACCACTCAATTACCGCCACTCAATTACCGCCACTCCAATGACCTGATTGGATTACACACAGCAATCATCGCCACGTGCTGCACAAACTTGGCAGGGCACTCCTGACAAATGTCATGAGACCTCGATGAGGCTTTCCTGCAGTGGCATCGCGGGACACACGGGGCGTACACACACACACACACATCCAGCAACTCCACATTCTCCCGAGGGGACGCGAGGGGCACGGTCCCTCCAGGGCCCACGGACTCTGGGTCCTGGCTCTATGATGGAGTGGAGCTGTTATCTCTACTCTGGGGGGGGGGGGGCTGTTACGTTTAGGCAAAGCCAGGGCCCTGTTATCTTCACCCGAGAAGCAGAGCTCTTGTGATCTCTGACCTCAGGAAGCTGCTTGTATCTCAAAGCCAAAAGGGAGTTTTTGTTGTTGTTGTCATTTGTATTACAGAGGGGGGCTCGCATCAGATCTGTTCCTTAGGAAGGGGGGTGTCCATGTTCTGTTTTTTCAGGATGGGTGGTGGAGGGGGGGTTGCCTTAGATTTCAACTGTACAGGGGGGAGAGGGTTTTGTTATCACAGGGTCTTGAAATGCGGTCGCATTTGGACGCCGTGCGATCCGCATGGCATCGTGTTTACTTAAGAGGTGGGCTGGGGGGCACCTGTTACATTGACTCCTGAGGGGGCGGGGCTCCTTCACCCCCCCCCCGCCCCCCCGAATCTCCCATCCTCAATCCCCTATCTTCCCCGTTTCTCTCACAGGGGTAGACAACCCGCAGGAACGACTGTGTCCTCCACCCCCCTCCTGTATCCACGGCCCAAAGCTACGCCCACCCCCCGCCCCCCGCAACAATCTCAGCGGTCGAGTGTGGGGGGGTGGGAGGGAGGAGCGGTGACGACTGGGCACGACACAACGCCACTGCACATTAACGGCAGTTGCCATGACGGCGCAATAAAGTGTCACGCCGAGGGGCGAACTTTGGACCGGGGACCCCGTGATAGCCCCCCTAGAGACCCGGCGGGACCCCAGTGGAGCTCACAGGTGCCTCCGGGAGCAGCCTCTGCGACTCCAGGCACCACGGCCACTCCAGTCGGGGTCAAGGGCGACATGGAGCCTCACCCACCCCCGCAAAGGGGTCCCCTTGGGATCCTGGTTGCGCCCCATGAGGATACTTGGGAACGTTCTAATGGGGTTCTTAATAGCAATGAGGACCCCCTTTTTTAAGGCACCGGACACTCGTGGTGACGGACTTAGAACCGATGGTAACACATCGACGATTCCTGGTACCACACTGAGGACTCGCGGTAACACACCGAGGACCCATGTGACCACACCGCGGACCCAACGGTAACTCACAGAGGACCCAACGGTAACTCACCGAGGACCCAACGGTAACTCACAAAGGGCCGCGTTACCCTGGCTCAAGGACGAAAAAGGAATTTATGGCTTCTACCAAACCCCGGCACGGACCGCACAATAAAGCCGGACTTGGCACATGGAGGCATGGGGGGGGGGGGGGGGGTAGGGATCCCGGTCCCCCTCGTTATCTCTCGTCGGTCCTCCGTTAGCCACACCGGGTCGTGGCTCTGACTGACGAATCTAGAAAACGCGCTAATGTGCACGTGCGCATGTGTGCGCGTGCGTGCGCTATTCCAGCCAACCCGCACGAGCTGCAGGTTTAAAATGCGCGCGCGTCGTTCGGTGCTTGCCGTGCCCGAGTCCACCGCCCCCCCGCCCCCCTCTGGACACGACTGCAGACGAGACGTTCCACCTCGAGGGGTCACCCTGGCGAGAGATGTAAAGTTCGCCAAGACGCACGGTCGCTCCCAGAGCGCGCGGGGCCACCTATCGCCGCGGTGCCCCCCCCCCCCCCTCTCGCCCACGAGGCACGGACGAGTAGAGCCCGCTGTGATTTCCGTGGAGGGGGGGGGGGCCAAGCCGCCAGGTGGGGTGGAGGTGGGGGAGGGAGGGAGGGGGGGGGGCAGCACGTGAACTCACCTGATGGTGAGGCGCTCCGACGTGTCCTGCAGGTCGCCCGCGTGGAACAGCTGAGCTGGCTTGAGGCCCAGGTTAGCGCACGCGTCCAGGAACTGGTTCACGTTGTCCTGCCGGGCCGGGAGACGGGAAAATGTCACTCACGGTGCCAGCGGTCGCCCTCGGGGGAACGCTCGCCAGCGCCCGCTCGCAGAGGCACAGCCGCTCACAGTCGCGGAGGCACACGGTCGCATGGTCGCACAGACACACAGACACACACTCTCACAGTCGCACAGACACACAGTCGCACAAACACAGTCCCACACTGTCACAGTCGCACAGACACACAGTCCCACACTCTCACAGTCCCACACTCTCACAGTCCCACACTCTCGCAGTCGCACAGACACACAGTCGCTCACTCTCACAGTCGCACACTCTGACAGTCGCACAGACACAGTCCCACACTCTCACAGTCGCACAGACACACAGTCGCACAGACACACAGTCCCACACTCTCACAGTCGCACAGACACAGTCGCACAAACACAGTCGCACAAACACACAGTCGCACAGACACACAGTCGCACACTCTCACAGTCGCACACTCTGACAGTCGCACAGACACAGTCCCACACTCTCACAGTCGCACAGACACACAGTCGCACAGACACACAGTCGCACACTCTCACAGTCGCACAGACACACAGTCGCACAGCCACACAGTCGCACAGACACACAGTCGCACACTCTCACAGTCGCACAAACACACAGTCGCACAGACACACAGTCGCTCACTCTCAATGCAAACTCCAACTAAATCATCTTTGTCGAAAGCACGCTCACATGCTCACTATCCCTCACAGAACCTCAGTCACAGACACACAAAGTCTCTCACACGGTCACTCGCACAGTCACTCACACAGTCACTCGCACAGTCACTCACACAGTCACTCGCACAGTCACTCGCACGGTGACAGATGCTCACCCAGTCACGGCCTCAGGGGCCAATACAGCGACGATCGGACTGCCACTGAGTCACGCTCGCACGGTCACCGTCACAGACGCGCAAGGCACTTGCCGAACACTCACGCGCTCACTCGTCAACAGTCACAGGTAAACACTCCAAGAGTCACGGCGAAACACACACACACACACACTGATGGGTAAACACGCACACACACTGATGGGTGAACAAATACAGCGATGGGTGAACACACACACAGATGGGTGAACACGCACACACACAGCAACGGGTGAACACGCACACACACAGACGGGTCAAGGCGTACCGTCACCGTCACGGGCTCAGTCACGCACCCCGACTCCCGCACGCGCGACTCCTCACTGAGAGTGACAGGGGGAGCGGGGAGTGGGGGTCGCGGCGTGGGAGGAGCAGGGGGAGAGGGGAGAGACGAGGGGAGGTGGCAGAGCGGGGCGGGATTTGGATTCCTGTGCCGAAACCCATCCCCTCCCTCGCTGCCTGATCACTCCCTCTTCATCCCCTCCCTCGCTGCCTCATCCCTCCATCTTCATCCCTGCCCCTCTGTTTCAGAGCTTTCATCACTCTCTCCAACTCAACTCGAAACTCCCTCCCCCCCCTCTCTCTCGCTCTCTAACCTCTCCTTCTCCCCATGCTCCTTTCCTCTATCCCTCTGTCTCACATCTTATCTCGCCGCTCTCTCCGCCCCGTTCCCCTCTCTCCGCTTTCTCCCTCCCTGCGACGCTCCCCAGCCCCACGGCGAATCGAGACCGAACCCAGCCGACTAAACACCCTCACTTGATGCAGCAAATCTGGCTGTGACGGTCCCACCTAATGAGATTTGTGTTGCCTCCGTAACGTCGTGATTTTTATTATTTTATTTTATTAATTTTAATTTTGTTTACCTACGTGACTTTACCGAAAAAACTAAGAGTATGAACCCGGAGGGTCGACAACCTGCATATCCGGAGCCAACACGCCGCTCTTTTAAGGACTTATCCATCGCTTATAAAAGTGCCACCACGGTCTCTCGTATTCACACGCGCACACATTTGCGGCTCTTGAAATAGAAGGTTTTTCTTTTTTTTACACGAATCCGAAAAAAACGTCTCATTGTTATTTTAGTTGCCGGCCCCTGGGCTAAACAAAAATCCGCAGATCCCTTGCCCCATGCGTAGCCTTTGACGGGCTGTTAGGGGCAAGTGCTGTTAGCGAGCACCTCGGAAGGGCGGCGCGGCGCACCAGGCAGTGTCATGGCCAGCATCACGCCCGGTCGCCTTCGTCTCCCCGGTGCGGATGCTTGCACACCGAACCGGGTACTCATTTAACCGTTGAGCCGACCAAGGAAGGTTTTTCCGCACCAGTTCAGATATTCACCACCGACTGTTAGCCGTGCAATGCGCCAAGCACTGCACAACCGCTCCCTACCTTGTATACACACACATACGCACGCACACGTGTAGATAAGCACGTGTCGAGCCGCACGTGTATACGCACAATGTGAACTCAAAATAACGCACACACACGGGGGGGGTACACACACGCGTCTACACACAGTGTGCAATAATAGTGGCACTCACTACACTCATAGCTGAATACATACGCGTGCCAGATTACATTCCTGGTGCATAGCAAACATACCAAGTGCACACAGCACACACACGTTGCACAGAATACACACGATGTACTCTCCGCTTGTACACAACGCTCGTTCACACGACTCTTACCCCCCTCAATCCTCCCTGATCCCCCACTGACCCAATCCCCCCCACGATTCCCCCACGTTGAACCCCCCCCCCCCCGATCCCATCAGTGACTTAACGCTGATCCTCGATCACTCAACCCCCCCCCCCCCACGTGGTCTCACGCCACTCACTGCACACTGCCTTAGTTTGGCACAGCTAGGGAAGGGGGGGGGGGACGTCACTGCCGTGAGAGGGGAGCGATGGGCAGGGGGAGGGGGGTGGTTTAATTGCGACATCAACGCACGGCGCCATCGTCGCCGCGTCTCACGGTGGAAGCGAAACGAGGGCGACGGAGTTCCCCGCCAAACGCCGCAAGAAGCCCCAATTACCGCTAACGAGGAACCGCGCTAACGAGGGCCACGCACGCTTCACTCCCTGGGCCGCTCCGGGAAAGCAGAGCCCCCTCGCCGCCACCCCGGCTGCAGGGCCAGATTTAGGAATGTTTGCCCACCGCCCCCCGTCTCCCATCGCCCCCCCTGCAGGACACCAGGGGAAAAAGACCCCCCCCCTCCGCTGACCCCCCCCCTCCGTTGACCCCCCCCCTCCGCTGACCCCCCCCGCTCTCTCTCTCTACCCACCTCCTCCCCAACCCGCCTGACATGCATGCAGACACAAAGACAAAGGTCCCCCCCCCCCGTCTAGCCTACACAGATGGGGCAAGTGCTGTCAGCGAGCACCTATAGAGGGAGGGCGCCGAGGCACGCACGGGGTTGGAGTGGCCAGCACCACACCTGGTCGCCCTGGTCTCGACAGTGCTCGTCGTTTAAGGCAGAGTCAACGAGGGAGAGCGGTCCACAACCGGCCCTGGCCGGGAACCGAACTCGGGCTGGCGGGTTCGTAGCGCAGTCCGCGACACGCAAACACACACACGCGTACGAGCGCACAGAAGCGTGTGCGCGTATGCGCGCATGCACACACACGTCTGCGCACGTGGGCACGCAGACGACGCGCGCGACCACACGTACTCGCAGGTCCCATTCCCGTGCCAAATTCCAAGGGGCCGCTCCCTGGACAGATGCCGAGGAGTCCAGTGCAAGAAGCGCCGGGCGGGTTGAGACGCGGCCGCTCGAGACGGGAGACAGCCGAGGGGACGTCGCCAGGGACCAATGTCAGGCGGGCGTCCGTGCGGGTCGGTGACCCCCGAAAATATTTCCGAACCCGGCACACCACGTCCATAACTGCTCTGCGTCGTTGTGGCTACCTAGTCACGTGGCTTCAGTGGGGGGCACGAAGGGAACAATCCGCTCATCGAGTTTTCAAGCCCTTTCACTCGAACAAGCATGTGACCCTTTGTCTTTCGTGATGTTAATGGGTGCCGAATGTTGCTGGCCACTTGGCGTTTTGCGCCTGGGCTCAGTGGCAACGGCGATTGAACAAGACGCACAAAGGCAGCGCTTACACGGGGCACGCGGCGGGGAGGAGGTGGAACAACAAACTGACAAGTGTGCAAAAGTGGCGTGGACGGGACGCGCGATTGCACCGAGAAGGAAGGGCTGACGGTCGGTGGGCAACGGTGGAAGCAGAGGGCATGCGCCGGCGACGGGTAGCCGCGAGATTGGCTCGGAGCGCGATGGATCGCTACGTCACAGCTTGGGGGGGGGGGGGTGGATGTTCATCCTGCAGTGGATAGATCATGCCCGACGATTCGGCCGAGCGACAACCCACCCGCAGCAGCAGCAAGCAGCAAGCGGTGGGAGTCTCCAGTTCGGAGGCTGTCCCGTGGAGTCCAGGAGGATGTGAGCTGTAGATTTTCCAGAGTTTGGAACTGACGGCTTGGGAACCAGATCGAGGGGGTGGGGAGCAGCCGCGGGGAGCAGAAGGTTCCGCTGCTGGACCCCGGAGCGATGAATGGCCGACGCGCCCAGCTCCTTGGCCGCGCTGCGTTTTGTTATTTTTGTTATTTTTGTGTTTTAATCGCACTGTTTCCCCAGCCCAGCCTGCGCCTCTCCCCAGAGACCTGCTGCTGCTCGCTGCAGCTGACGTCACCGTGACAATGTTTCCTGCCTCCCGGTGGCTCCACCACAACATCTCCAACCACTGGATCCTCCACCCTGGAACTCTCTTATCCCGTGACCCTCTACCCTGAGGGACACCTCCATCCCAGGAACGATACACCTCCATCGCTGAACACCTCCAGCCTAGGAACGATCGTGGGGTGCCCCCTTTGCTGGACTGTCCATTGCGAAACACCTCTGTCACTGCACCCTCCACCGCTCGGATCCTCACCTACAGCAGGCTGCATCCTGGGGCACCTTCACCCCGAGACCCTCCGCTCGGAGCCCTCAGTCCCCCCCACGGCCCCCACGGCCCCCAAGGTCCCCCATTTCCCCCACGGTCCCACGCATTCTCCGCGCCCCAACGCGTCCCTGTGCGCGCGCGTTGTTATTTTTTGGAATTGCCACCACGGTGACACACGCTGAGCTCATCGTCGCGCGGCCCGAGCGGCGCGGGATGACATCTGGCGCGAGGAATGCGAGGGCTCGCGAGCGGAGGCGGCGCAACCTCCGTGCGACAGACGAGAGCGGCCGTGCCGCCCATTCCTCCGGGGAGCTCACGCTCTCTGAGATCATCGGCCGGGGCAGTGGGTTTGGAGCGTGGCCCCCCCCCCCTGCCCCTCACCTCCTCGCCCCCCCCCCCACCCCCCCCCCAGCTCTCAGCCCCCAGCTCCCTGCATCCGACACCTCTTCACTCATCGTCGTCATCGCCACGCAGGGTCGTGACAGCGCTGCCGTTCCACGGAGGCTGCATGCCAAGCAGCTTCCCGAGAGGGGGGGGGGGGGGGCGACGCTGCTGTGTGCGATCGCAATCGGGTCAGTTTCTTTTAAATGTGACAAATTTTGACAGTGACGCCGGCACACAATGGCATGCTCTTTCTCGAACGACGACGTCACGGGACCTGTAATGTTGCACTGCGAGGCGGTCGGCGCGTGGCACCCTACGGTCCACCCACTCGGCCGCAGCATCAACCGCTGCGGCCTGCCGGATTCGCTCAATTCTGCCCTGCAGAGGTCACGGTCGAGGTCACCGTCAGGGTCGAGGTCACCGTCAGGGTCGAGGTCATGCCCCATGGGCACAATCCGTGGACCGAATTGGCAGAACGAGCAGTGGACGGGCAACGCCGAGGTGAATTAACCCAAGGGAGCACTTGGCTCATCTCTCTTGCACCTTTTTCTATTACACAGTACAGATTGGGAGTGCAACAATAGATTATTGGATCCATCTGTGCGGAGCTTCCGAGTGTTCTCTCGTTTCCTCCCGCATAGCGGCAAACTCTCATGAATGCAACGCTTGGCCAAACGTCCCAATGTCCTGTAAGGGAGTCTTGAGGCTAAGTGAGAGGCTTTCACGGTAATAAATAATAATATTGTTTGATTGCAACCAAAGCCAATTGATCACTGAACTCCCACGGGAAATTTCCGAATGGATTCTTTCATCTCAAGACCTGTTGTCCCAAAAGCGTCGCCAGCAGCAAAGTCCCAAGGAAGGAATTTCTTCCCCGAGCACTGCCCCCATCCCCGCCCCTCCCCTCGTCCTCGCGGCGTCATCACCTCCCCAGGCGTGACTCACAGATAGACGAGATTGGCCGAATCTCGCCGTCCCAACGAATTGGTTGCAATAAACGTTAAGAGGTTGCACGTGCGCGCACACAAAAACACACAAATATCCCCCGTATAGCCTTTAATGGACTGTTGGGATAAGTGCTAATAGCGAGCTTCTACGAAGGCCGAAATGGCACACGAGGGGGTGGGTTACCAGCACTAAGCCCGGCCACCTATGTCTCCCCAATTCTAATATTTGAACACCACCCGAGGTACTGATTGAAGATTGAGTCGACCTAGGGGAGGGCCCAGGACCGGTTTAAATAACCACCACTGTTATTGGTCAGGAGCGGGATTCGGGTCACTGGGGAGTGGTAGCGCTGCAGTTAGCGCACTGCGGTAACAGCGGCGCCACAACACACGCGTACACACCCATATATCGCGTATATACAGACAGGTATATATTTACACAAGCACACACGGGCACACACACCAGTCCCAGGGTCATTTACAATTAGAGCTGTAATGTTGGCCGAAGTTACAATAACGTTAAACTCATTAAACTTTATTACAAACTACAGAATTGCAATAGTAATGACCCTAGATAATGGATACACACCCACGCAAGTGGACACACAAAATACGAGGTGGCCAAAATAACCTGAGGCTGCTGGGGCAAGTGCTCTTAGTGAGCACCTGTGAAGGCCAGCACGGCAAGGATTAACCAACAACAAAAAACATGTACTGTACTCATTCAAGGCTGAGTCGACCTAGGTTCAGACACACGGGCATATATACACACACAGTTAAAGCAACACAAAGACACAACGAGGCACACACGTTGGGCACACGGGCGCGCTCACTCGCGCTGCGTACCCACTCACAAGCACCGGGAAACACAGACGTGAGTTCCCAACGAGGATGAGAACCTCCTCCACCGCCCTCCTCACACCTCCCCCCTGCCCCATCTTCACGCGGCACGTGGCGGGCCTGACCCTTGAACCCCGACACCCGAGGAGGACTGGGAGAGGGGGCAACAGGGTGCTTGGCGAACCGAGAATGGAAACCGCCACCACCACCACTCCCACATGCGCTCACCATACACACCACCACTACACCACAGCCACTAAACCCAACACCACAACTGCACACACCACAATCAACAAACCCAACACCACCACCACCACCATCGCTCACCACAACCACCGCAATCACCACCGCAACGACCATCAGCCACACTGGCGTGCATCAAACACACAGTGGGCCCAGGAGGATGCACAGCTGAGAGAGACTCAACCTGGTGGTGGTGAGCGCACCACTCCGCGTGGAGCGCTTGGAGCGGTGTGGGAGCGGTGTGGGAGCGGGGCGGGAGCATGGTGGTGGAGTGCGGTGAGCGGTGTGGGAGCATGGTGGTGGAGTGCGGTGGTGTTGGTGCAGGGGTTCGGTGCGGGAGGGGCGGGTGTGGAGTGATGGTGCAGTGTCGTGTGGTGTAGGGGTGTGGGAGTGTGGCGTGGTGGTGCGGTGCTGGGGTGCGGTGCTGTGGAAGTCTGGTGTGGTAGTGCGGTGCAGGGGTCCTGTGTGGTGGTGTGGTGTGAGAGTCCGATGTGGTAGTGCAGTGGTGTGGTGGTGCAAGTTTTGTGTTGGTGGGGTTGGGGTGTGGGGGTCTGGTGTGGTAGTGCAGTGGTGTGGTGGTGCAAGTTCCGTGTTGGTGGTGTCGGGGTCTGGTGTGGTATTGCAGTGGTGCGGTGCGGGGGTGCGGCATAGCCGATGTCACTCACGAGGCCGGCGATCGGGGTCGGCTGTCGGTTCACCCTCTTCACCAGTCCCGGCTTGATGTGGTTCACGAGGCTACGGCACCACAACCACAACAACCACAACAACCGCTACAACCACATCCACCACAACCACCCATACAACCACAACACAGGGGGGTTATTTGAGTCCCTGGGTTCAAAATCGTCATCGCTGCCCCCCCCCCATGCCCTTCCTCCTCCAGCCCTGCCATCCTTTACCCTTCCGCCCTATGCCCCCCGGCCTTCTGTGCTCCGGGCGCGGGTGATGCTGTGGTGCAGCTGTGAAAGTGACCCCTCACCCTCCCTTATCCCTGCCCTCCCTTGCCCTGTCGCCAAGTGCCCTGTGCCCTGCCCCGATACTCACTCGCAGAGGGCAACGCCGTTCTCCAGGGCAGCGCGGAAATCCTCTCCCTCCAGCTCTCGACCTGTGACCTCCTGTACGACACACGGACGCGCCAGAGGACGAGAGCGTGAGTGGGGCGAGTGAGCGTGACGGTGAGTGGGGCGAGCGAGTGTGCGAATGAGTGGGGTGAGTGTGAGGGCGAGTGGGGTGAGCGTGACGGTGAGTGGGGTGAGCAAGACGGTGAGTGGGGTGAGCGTGAGGGCGAGTGGGGCGAGGGTGACGGTGAGCGGGGGTGAGAGTGAGCGGGGTGAGCGAGTGTGCGAGTGAGCGAGTGCGAGCATGTCACAGTGCGAGCGGGGATGCGAGCAGTGACGTAAGCTGTCGAGTGTGCAGGCGGTGGATTTGCACCTGGGGGGTTGGGCGACGGGGGGGGGGACAGGAGGGGGAGAATGGAATTTGAACAAGGTGGGGGGGGGGGGCCATGTCGTTCGTTGCACAAGGACTCATGCCAACCACACCGTGACACAGAGTGAGAGGGAGTAGCGTGTGAGAAAGGGTGTAGTACTGTAGTGTGTCTGTGTGTGTGAGTGTGCACCAGTGTGCCGTAGTACGAACCCGGCGAACCGAGTTTGATTCCCGCTCACGGTCACCAACAAGGGAGTCTCCCCTAGGTCGACTCCGCCTCAAATGAGTACCTGGTATGAAGTGTAAACGTAGACACTGGGGAGACAAAGGCGGCTGGGCGTGGTGCTGGCTACCCACCCCCTCGTGTTCCTTACCGGCCTTCACAGGAGCTCGCTAACAGCACTTGCCACCAAAAGTCTATTATGGCTCCGTGGGGGTGTTTACACACCGCACCAGGTACTCATTTAAGGCCGAGCCGACGTAGGGGAGGCCCAGGACCGGTTCAGACAATCCGTCACTGGCGTTGCTCGCAAGTGCTCGCACTCTCTCTCTCACACACACACGTGACACACACGTGACGTCGTTACCCACACACACACACACGTAGCACTCATAGACCCGATAAAGGCAGCAGGAGGTGTGTGGGAAGTGGTCTCGAGACGTGAGGTGGGGTCAAGGCGCACCCATTGATCCCCAAGGGGGCCGCGTGGGGGGCGAGGGGGGCGGGGGGATTCTTCACCCCCCCCTCCCCCAAATCCCCCCTCCCCCCCTCCCCAAAATACCCCCACCCCCCCTCCCCCCCTCCCCCCCTCCCCCAAATCCCCCCTCCCCCAAATACCCCCCCTCCCCCAGATCCCCCCTCCCCCCACCCCCAAACCCCCCCCCCCCACCCCGGAGGAGCGCGTGCCCGAGCTGGGCGCGTGCGTGGCGTGGATCGCGTCGCCATGGCGACCTGGCCAGAGGCGCGCGTGTGCGCGTGCACGCTCCTGTGTTTTGGTTTGTTTGTGTGTGCACGTGGTGTGCACGTGGTGTGCACGTGGGAGTGTGTGTGTGCGCGTGGGAGTGTGTGTGTGTGTGTGCACGTGGGAGTGTGTGTGTGTGCGCACGTGGGAGTGTGTGTGTGTGTGCACGTGGTGTGCACGTGGGCGTGTGTGTGTGCACGTGGGCGTGTGTGTGTGCACGTGGGCGTGTGTGTGTGTGCGCACGTGGGAGTGTGTGTGTGTACGTGGTGTGTACGTGGTGTGCACGTGGGCGTGTGTGTGTGTGCACGTGGGAGTGTGTGTGCGCACGTGGGTGTGTGTGTGCGCACGTGGGAGTGTGTGGGAGTGTGTGTGCGCACGTGGGTGTGTGTGCGCACGTGGGTGTGTGTGTGCGCATGTGGGAGTGTGTGGGAGTGTGTGTGCGCACGATGAAGTGTATGTGTGCGCACTTGGGAGTGGTGTGTGCACGTGGAAGTGTATGCGTGTGCACTTGGGAGTGGTGTGTGCACTTGGGAGTGGGGTGTACACGTGTATGCGTGCACGTTGGAGTGTTACGTGTGTGCGTGTGTGCTCAAACTTAGGTGGTTGCTACCACCGTGGTTATTGGCCAGTTGTCACAGTGGGGAGTACAGGGGGTGCATCTGCCAGTCATCTCGGTTAGCCTGGGTCTGTCTCGTGACGTCCTAAACTACTCCCGTTATCGTGGTCTTCGTGTCTGTGTGAGAGGGTGACACTTGGTGTGACAGGGTGACGCTTCGTGTGACAGGGTGACACTTGGTGCGAGAGGGTGACACTTCGCATGAGAGGGTGACACTTCGCGTGAGAGGGTGACACTTCGTGTGAGAGGGTGACACTTCGTGTGAGAGGGTGACACTTGGTGTGAGAGGGTGACGCTTCGTGTGACAGGGTGACGCTTCGTGTGACAGGGTGACACTTCGTGTGACAGGGTGACACTTCGTGTGACAGGGTGACACTTGGTGTGAGAGGGTGACACTTGGTGTGACGGGGTGACACTTGGTGTGTGAGAGGGTGACTCTTCGTGTGACAGGGTGACACTTGGTGTGACGGGGTAACGCTTCGTGTGACGGGGTGACACCTCGTGTGCGAGTCTGCGTGCGCTCGACTCAGCCTCAAGTGAGGCGTAACTGGCGAATATTTGAACCGGTCCTGGCTCTCTCCTCGGTCGACTCAGCCTCAAATAAGTATCTGGTGCAGTGTGTAAACATCAGAATTGGGGATACAAAGGTCATGGTGCTGACCACCCACCTCCTACAGAGGGGATATTCGTCTTTGACTTTTGTCAGTAGTTGTGTGTGTGTCTGCAGTGTCCCCACAAGTATACATAGATATCAATATGTCTGCGCTACGCACCTGGCAACCCAGGTTCAATTCCTGGCCTCGGATAACATCAGCGACATAGTGTTTATATCTTAGCCTCGTCTGCGCCTCCACTATGTGCGTGGTGCGGTTTGTAAACATCAGCACCAGGGAGACAAAAGCACGCCCCGGACGTGGTGCTGACCACAGCATCCGCTTTGTGCGCCGTGCCGACATTAACAGGAGCTCGCAAACTCACACTCGGCCCTGCGGCCTGCACCGCGACCCGGGCAGGGGTCTTTGTGCGAGCACGTGGGTGGAGTACATGTTTTACCCCCCCATGTGTCACCCTCCATGTGTCACCCCCCCCCATGTGTCACCCCCCAAGTGTCACCCCCCATGTGCCACCCCCCCCATGTGTCACCCCCCATGTGTCACCCCCCCATGTGTCACCCTCCATGTGTCACCCCCCCCATGTGTCACCCCCCATGTGTCACCCCCCATGTGTCACCCCCCATGTGCCACCCCCCCCCATGTGTCACCCCCCATGTGTCACCCTCCATGTGTCACCCCCCCCCATGTGTCACCCCCCATGTGTCACCCCCCCATGTGTCACCCTCCATGTGTCACCCCCCCCCCCCCCCAAGTGTAACTCCCCACGTGCCACTCCCAGCGTGTGGGGGCCACGCTCACCGCACCTGACACATTCGCCCCGCAGTAGCCGCAGGGTTCGATACAGAGACGCGATCCGCACAAAGGTAAATATCCCCCGTGTAGCCTTAACAGACTATTGGGAGCAAGTGCTGTTAGCGAGCACCCTATGAAGGCCGGAACGGCACACGAGGGGGTGGGTGGCCAGCACCACGCCCGGCCGCCTTTGTCTCCCACGTGGCGATGTTTACACACCGCACCAGGTACTCATTTTAAGGCTGAGTTGATCCTGAGAGGCCCAAGATGGGCTCAGATAATCGTGACTGGTGTTGGCCGTGATACACACTCACGTACATATCAGAGGCGTGCGGTCAGGGGAGGCAGGGGAGGCAGAGCCTCACCTGTCATACTCCAATGAAAATAGCTGTTACGGGAAAAAAATATTAATTAAATAAATAAAATATTAAGATTTTTTTCAATGATCTGTGCTATAAATGTCATTTCTGCACGATTCCAATCATTTTTAGAGTCAAAATCGCCAAATTTGCGGAGCTCCGCTGCAAATACAGGAAGAGACGAGAGGTGAGGCAGCGACGAGCTCAGCCTCCCCTCTGATTGCGCAACCCCTCAGTAACTGGATGGAGCACGGACAATAAGCGCGTGCCTGTCACTATCTCAGTATGTCACCAATGTAATGTTTGTAGACCCCTTCATTTCATGTCCTCGCCTTCCATACTCCAGATAATTTATTTCAAGTATGTGTATAAAGATATTGAGGCTCGCTGATCTTGTCGTGAAACTGAAATGAAAAAACACCAGGGGAGGCAGCCATCACATCTGCCTCACTGAGGGGGACGTGTCTAACACGCCCCCTCAGTGAGGCCACGCCCCCCTCAGTGTGTGAATCTGGCTCTGACACGAGCCAGTGCCTGGTCAGCCATTGACCTCACCGCACGTCACTGCTACATATACGGACGGACATACAAAGACACAGGGGTCGACACAGAGATACAGAGAGACTCATGCAGATACGGAGACACACAGAGGAGCATACATAGATGGACATACACGCAAATTCACATGCACACACACACAGCTCGGTACATACCGACACAGAGATATGCACAGGAAGGAGATACAGAAGCACATACAGACAGACACGCAAACGCCTAATCACTTACACAGACACACCCAGGTATATGGAAACACTCAGATATACATGCACAGGCACATAGAATGTCAAAGATCCTCCGTAAAGACATGCAGACTATTCGGGAAAGTGCTGTTCGCGAATACCTACTCAGGCCATGAGGGGGTGACGACTAGCACCCACAAACGGCCGCCTTTGTCTCTCCAGTGCCGATGCTTACACACCGCACACACGATGTAGTAAGTATTCATTCAAGGCTGAGTCAATCATGGGAGAGCACCCAGGACCGTTTTCAGACATTCGTCAATGATGTTGACATACCGTTACTCTTTTTTTAATAGGTGCTCGCTAACAGCACTAGCCCCAAATGTGTGTGTGGCCCCACAACCGAGTTAGACACCGGTACTATTTTCTATTTCTGTTTGACCAGGTAAAGCCCCATCAGCTATGCAGCTCTTTGTCAGAAGCCACCTGGCCACAAATTGAGAGCTCAACGAAGTGGCTTATCGTCACGTGGACTTTTATAGCAGCCAAATACTCTAAACGCGTGTTTCTCTGAATGTGGAGGGGAAAAACCGGAGGACCGGGA